TCGGTCGGTTGTGTAAGTAGTAGCTCTTAAACTTTTTCTTTTCTCGTAGCATTCCCAGCACATGTCCAAACCATCACAGGTTTGACTTTTTCAGCTGAAGCAACGACTGTGCACCAAGGTTCTCTTGGATATGTGTACTTCTGACCATGTTGAGACCCGTAAATGCCGCGGTTATCTCTCAGTGCGCATTTTATGTTTACCCGACATCAGAGTTTTTCACTCATTACCCACCAATCTCCGCCTAAGTCAAACGGTTCCAGCTAGTTCACGCAGGACACGACTCTGGCCATTCCAAATCGCCAGTCGATTTCTCATTTTCCGTCACCAGTAAATACAGTCCTGAGATACGTGAACTTCTCTATCTGTTTCACTACTTTATTTATCTATAGAGCACAACGGATAGGACAGCTAGAATGCACTAGGCTTTTGGTTTTCGACGCATTCACACGCATTGTGACCACGCAGCTGTATGCCTTTCCAGAGAACGCTGTGGAAGAACATAAACAGGAGAGGGGACAGAGCGCAGCCGTTTCAGAGACTAGTGCCATTGCTGAAAATTTTCAGCTTAACGCCATTTACTTTGACGCAGCAGCTTTTATCATTGTCTAGTGATGGGATGACCCGTAGCAACTGGTCATCGATCCCATGTTCCCTGGAACGCCCATAGGTTGATGGGCGGGATCCTGTCAAAGGCTTTCTCTAGGTCAACAAAGCACGTATGCACTGACTGAGCGAACTCCCACAATTTTTCAACATATTGGCATAAAGTGAATAACTAGTGATATGTGCTTCAATCAGGCCTGAAGCCACACTGTTTTTTTTGTATTTTATGGTCAGTTATTCCGCGAAACCTCCTTTCTAGCATTTTTGCGTACACTTTACCCGGATGGTTCAATAAGGTAACGCTCCGATAATTGGAACACTTTCTACGTCTCTCATCTTGAACAAGGACACTATTGCTCCTGTTATTCAGTCTTCTATCATCTTGCCCGCAGCCTTTGCAGTTTGACAGACACGTGTTAACCGCAATATCCCTTTTCCGCCTAAATCTTTATGCACAGTCAAGGAGAATTTTATTAATTTCAATGGCTTTGCCACTTTTCTTCAACCTCTTTATAGTTTCTGTTGCTTCGTCTACTGAAAGACTAATGTTGCCTGCTGCTGTTAAGACGAACCTTTCCGCTGTTCTTCGAGGTTAAGAAGTTCCTCGAAGTACTCTCTCTGTCACCGAAGAATGTCCTCCTCCTCAGTTAGAGGGCGTTAAGACTGTCCTTCTTTCCGCCTTAGAGGCGACGGATGATCGGTCCGGCCAGAACGCGTTGTTTTTTATCTGGAAATTCGACTCCAGCACCGGAGGTTTGCTTGGAATAAGCTGTCGTCGCCGCCTTGGGCTATTTTTCGTCCCGCATTCGACATAGACATTCTTTGCTTCCACGCCATCTCTTGAATGTAGCCTTGCAGCCTTCTCTATGACAGTCAGTTGTACCTCTTGTGTTCACCAGGAAGTTTGTTTCAGACCTTCATACAGTTTTCCGACCCGTTTTTAACCGCAACCTTTAGCGACTGTCCCTGTCTGCCACTTTTAAAGCGTTTCCGCCTCTTTTTCACATCAGCGGTCATCACAGGGATCTGTTTAAGCCTTCGTGCGATGTTATTTTAAAGTTTTGCCCTCGTATCCGTAGAAGATTATGTTTACCATTTGATTTTCTGGTTGCTTGTGCCACCAAGTCTTCCCATGGTAAACGTTTACAATGGAAGAGGCAAAGAACAAGGTGGTGATCAGGACAAAGTGACAGCTTGCGCCTCTC